GGTCCCAGGCGGAGGGGCTGGAAAGCGGCGTCCGGCTCGGGCCACGGGATACGTCCATGCCTGGCCTCTTCTCAGTGCCTGGGAGCTGGCGCGGGGGGCGGGGGGAAATGGCGCGCTCCGGCATGCGCGTGCGCAGTGGATGGGCCACGTTGACAGTCCGCCACTCGCTTGGTGACGCGCGCGCAGGGAGACGTGCTCGGAGAGGCTGTGCGTTCTGTGAGCCAAGCCGACCCCGGGCCACCTGCAAAACTTACTGTAACGTCCTACCAACCTCCACCTGCAGATGCCCAAGTGACCCCTCCCACCCGGTACACCACGCAGGTCCTCACTGCACGCGGTGCACTCACGCACGCGGGGTCTTCAGGAAACACCTACGAATATACGCCCGTTTGTGCCATTCTCTGCCCGTTCGTGCCATTCTCTTCGTGAGATTAGTGACGCTGTCTCTTCGAAGTCGCTGTCTCTTCGAAGTCGTTTGGGGTGGGGAGTAAAGGCCCCTACTGCCCTTTGATCCTTACAGAAGGAAGCTTTTAACTTTTATTACCTGCTTTGTGGAGAGTAATTGCTAGGACTATACCGAATGCCCTTGACGCCCTAGGGCCCATCGCCCTCTATCTTGGTGAGGCAGGGCAGCCTCCGCTCGCGCACATACTACCCACGGGGGTCGTCACCGCACAGAAATGTATTCCTCACATTTCTGCAGGCTGAAAGTCCCACTCAGGATCTTAGCCCGTAGCCCAGGGCTGCTGTCCTCGGTTCCTTGCCTGGTAGACAGACGGTCCTCACGTTAGTCTTTGGAGAAACAGAATCCATCGACTGTTCCTCAGGGTCACAAAGCTGGAGATGTGACATGGCTTGAGATCTGGTCTGGTTAAGACTTGGTTTGCAGGAAAACTGGAATTTAACAGCCCTGTCCCTCGCCCCCAACCTCCTTGCAGTAAAATTCCCTTTTAAAAAACGAATGGTCGGGTTCGGCAAGTTGGAAGAAGTAAACCATCTGGGCAAACAAGGCCTTTAGTTAAGGAATGGAGCCCGAGACCTCGAAGGAGGGCCAGAATGCCTCCCATTCCGGTTGCTGAAGCCTCCCTTCCCTGTACCACACCTGTCCAACTGCCACATCGGCGAGCAGGCGAGAACTTGCTTACCTTTCATGGGATTTTTGAAGTTTGGGGAGGCTTCAATCCCGCTACTTCCTTCTCTCAAGCGCTTGCAGAAATAAACGTAGAATTTCTCGAATCAGCTTGGTCTCTGTGTCTAAGATGGGCGTCCTGGACCTCATCAGCGGCATCTACATGAAGGCCTTCTCCCTTGTGTGGGAGCATCAGTGTCTAATCTGCTTTTTATTACTTAGAAGTGATTCCATTTGGAATCCCACTAACATCTAATTCACACAACAAAGAAGATCCTATTTCAAAACAGGATTACACCCACAGCTAGTAATAATACTCTGCATATTCCTATTTGTGGGGGGTGGGATCGGCAGTGGAGAGATTCTTTTTAATCCATAAGCCCCGCCTTTCCCCATGATGTTGAGAAAGGGAAACGGGCAGCGAAAGCGGAAGTGCTGGCTGGCCTACGAGACAGACTGGCTTGGAGGACTTCATGCCTCTTCCTGGTCGCACTCAGCCTGATCAAGCAAGGGGGCTGCATTTCACCACAGCTGCTGGCTACTTACAGAGTTGCTTACGTTTTGTTAGAGCCTCATCACGGGATTACTACCTAACCAAGCCAAGTTGACACAATGGGCTCAACTAGGACAATCATGTGGATGGCATAGGACCTGGTCTTTAGGAATTGGAGCCAACTAACAACAGAGAAGCCCTCAATGAGGAGCCTGCCTCCCTCCCTGAGAGCCAGCTGAGTCTGAGTAGACATTGAGAATCTTTGGGATACAGGTGCTTTCTATGCTAGGAGAGAGTGGTCTTTACTAATCTGGGATGCTGACACATTGCGCTGTACTGCATGAGTGAATTAAAGAGGAAGCCACTATGAGATAGAGAAGGCAGGAGAGAGCGGTAACATTTCACATGTCCACCTATGACATTGACATTGGTAACACCTCACAATTGGACGGCACTTCACCAAGCACTTATTTTTATAATGACAGCAAATAGATTCTGGTGGGATTGAACTGGGAAGGAGATGTGGTGTATTATGAAGTAACTCTGTTTTTTTCTCCCCATTGTACTAGATGAGGAACCTTGTATGCAGTATAATATTCTAATTTGCTTTTGCAGTGTGAATAAAAAGGTGTAGGGGCCGGAACTGACCTCCTCTGGCTACACAAGGGAGAGAATCCATCTCCACATCTGCCCAAGGCCAACTGCCACAGGCAGAGGCCAGACATACCTCCACCTCCCATCTTTCTTTATCTTATTCTGACCCCAATCTTGCCTCCGATGCACTACTTTTCTGCTGGGTTTGATAATGGCCACACAGATCCCACGGGAAGAACTCACAATTGTGGGGGTTTATTAGGAAGGTTTTGTAGCCTTCGGTGTGGATTACAACTCAATGTAAAGAAAACAATCCTCACAACCGGACCAAAAGGGAACATCATGATAAAGAGAGAAAAGATTGAAGATGTCAAGGACTTCGGTCTTGCTTGGCTCCACAGTCAATGCTCATGGAAGCGGCAGTCGAGTGATCAAACAACACATTGCATTGGGTAAACCTGCTGCACAAGACCTCTTTCAGGTGTTGAAAAGCAAGGATGCTACTTTGAGGACTAAATTCACCTGCCCCAAGCCACGGTATCTTCAATTGCCTCATCTCTGCATGTGAAAGTTGGACATTGAATAAGGAAGACCAAAAGAGAATGTATGCGTTTGAATACAGAAGATACTATGGCCTACCAAAAGAACGGCAAATCTATCTTGGAAGAAATACAGCCAGAATGTTCCTTAGAGGCAAGAATGGTGAGACTTTGGACATGTTATCAGGAGAGACTACCCCCTGGAGAAGGGCATCACACTGGGTAAAGTGGAGGGGCAGCAAAAGAGGAAGGCTCTCAACAAGATGGATCAACACAGTGACTGCAACAATGGGCTCCAACACGAGAACAATGCTGAGGCTCGTATAGAACCGGGCAGTGTTTCCTTCGGTTGTACATAGGGTCTCTGTGAGTCGGAACCAACTCAATGGCACCTAACAACATTAGGAAGGTTAACAGGGTGTGTGGGTGTGTGTAGTTCCAACATGAAGGCTACAGTCATTGGTCCACGGCGGTGCTGCTGCTCAGCTAGCAGCCAAGTCTGGAGACAAAACCCATCGGCACCAAGTGCATTCTGATCCATAGCGCCTCTCTAGGACAGGGCCGCACTGCCCTGTGGGAGTCCAATGCCTCATACGGAAGGTGATTTCTTCCACGGAGTGGTTTGCATGGTTGACCTTTTCGTTAGCAGATGAGCATTTAACCACTGAGTTAACCCATTGCCAGTGAGGCAATTCCCATTCATAGTGATCCTAGAGCAGTGGTTCTCAACCTTCCTCACGCCGCAGCCCTTTCATACAGTTCCTCGTGTGGTGGTGACTCCCAACCATAAAATTATTTTCGTTGCTACTTCATCACTGTCATTTTGCTACTGTTATGAATCATCATGTAAATATCTGATATATAGGATGTATTTTCATTATTACAAATTGAACATAATGAAAGCATAGTGATTAATCACAAAAACAAGATGTAATTATATATTGTGAAATATTTATTTCTAATGACAAATAGGTGAAATTTTGTCTTGAAGCATGGTGTAGCATGGGTAAAAGTTTTCATGCTGGGTACTCGTATGTGGGTGGAAATCGTATGTGGGTGTATCTGCATGTGGGTGGAAATGTGTTTTCGGATGGTCTTAGGTGACCTCTGTGAAAGGGTCATTCGACACCCAAAGGTGTCGCATCCCACAGGTTGAGAACCGCTGTTCTAGAGAAACAAGATCATAAATATGGGCTTCTTACATTGGCTCTCCAGCCTGATTGGGCTTAACAGCACTGGGAGTGATATTTCTCACCCTAAAGGAATGGCTGAGTCTGCCACTCTTACTAACCCAAGGGGTGAAGTAGCAAAGCTAATACCCACAGTATCGCCACCAATAGGCGAAGTGTTGGTGAGAGGAGAGGCTCGGGGTGACCTGTGTTTGATATTTTCCAGTAGTTCTATCAGGATGACAAGTGTAGGGTAGCTGGTTTGCAGGTCCTTCTTACAATAGAAAATGTGATTCAGGAGAGGGATCATCTCAGAACCACGTCTCAATGCTGAATAACAGACCTGAAAGCTCCTGCATGTGCTACAAAGGAGAGCCTTCTCTTCTCTAGTAATAGAGCGGACATTGCTGAGAACCAAATTCAGTTTCATCATCCGGGTAGCTGAATCAAAACATCAGGTAATTCCAGGTCCAGAACAGCGTCTGATATTAAAGTAAAGGGCATGCCTGGGTCATTCCCACAGCCAGCTGAGGTGCTTGCTGAGGGCAAAGGTAATACAGAATGGGTAGTAGAAGGCAGTTCTACATATGTTATGACCATGTGATCAATTGCAAAAGCGAGGTTTGTGATTGTGTTTATTTTCTTTATATGTACTTACTGAATATCTTTCCTTTGTTCATGTATGATTTATCAGGTACAATGATACTCAGTGTATCAGTAGATGTTTGATGTTATGTATAAGTGTAATTTCATTAATTTCTGAAATTATATATATGGCTAAAGAATTGTGTACAGATGCCAAGTTGGCAAGGGGTAGATTGTGATAGGTAGGATTATTGTGCCAACCTGGCCAATAAACACATGTGGGGTTAATAAGGCTGAAGTTTAATTGAAGGGCAAAGAGAGAAATGGCTCAGCAAGCCTTGTCTTTTCTTGTCCCTTGCTCTTTGATGACTGGACCAGTGTGCTGCTGCTTCAGCTAGTTCTCTGCCCCAACTTTCAAGCTACACTACCTGTGGGACACCCAACCCGTGGACTGTGTCACTGTAGTTTGAGGTTCCTTCAAGACCTGCTTCACCACATTACTGGAGTATACATCGCTTGAGCTGGGGACTGTCGGACCCTGTCATCTGGCTGACTGTTGGTGACCCGCCCTGCTGTTTGCTGCCTGTGGCTGGACTGCCTGTATTGCTCAGCAGAAGACTCAGCTGTCTGCTTCCTTCACTTGCACCCAGTAGCCCTCGTGATTTGTAGGACTATATTAACTGTCTCATAGAAGTGAGTTGAACTGAGCCATTTGCACTGCTCTGTGGATTAATTAGCTGTTTATTTCTTATGTCCTATCTATCTAATCATAAGTGTCCTGGTTTTGTTTCTCTAGAGAACCCTAACACCCCCCACCCCACCCCCAAATTTAAAATCCTTGGATGACACTTTTCATATTTCTGGACATCTCTTAAATCTTTTGTTACCAACTGTTTATATTTCAGATTTTCTTTCCCCATTAGGGCGTAGTTTACCTTGTATGGTGGATTTTGCTATCATGTGGACCGCATTATGTCTCAATGGTAGTTGGTGGTATAAAGAGTGGGATCAGATACGGAAACAGTATTCATTTGGATATTATCTTATCCCGAAGCCCCTCCTTCCCAATCACACACAGGAAACGGTAAACAGGGGTACAAGTTTTCTCTTGCTGTATAGAAGGTCAAAGAGACAAGTTTTACATAATCACCTTTCCAGGACATACCACCTTGTACAACCACCTCCCAGCACAGAAGCATGTTGTCTATAAAATCCCTTCAACATTACACCAGTCCCCAGCCCAAGGCCTGCTTGTATCCTCCTAAACAGAACAAGACAAGAGGCGCAGTCTTTCCCCCGGAGCTGCTGCTCGTGGTTTCAAACTATCCACCACGTGGATCGCAGCCCCATGCATAACCGCTGTACCACGAGGGCTCCTTGTAACTGAGGGGTGGAAAATTTAAGTAGTAATTATCCTGTCTCGCAAGTTACAGAAGAGTTAAATTGCTTTCAGATAAAATAGGAAGGCGAGGTCTTTATCTCCTCCATAGAGCTTAATGTTAGCATAAAGATACATACCCTCTGTATGAAATAACAAAGACCTCTGTTTCAGATCATCTTCATTACAGAATTATTTTCTCTCTTCATAAAAAAGTTATCAAAAATTTCGGAAACAATTGCACGCATGTGTGTGTGTGGCGGGGGGTGGCGCAGGTAGGAGGAGTTAACTTTAAAATCCTAGGATTCAAAAAATTAATTATAAAGCATATACTGTTTTACAGATTTGGCAATTTAAAAATGAGAATAAAATGTTAAATTTCAGTAGGAACTTGCTGGAAAGAACAAGAACATTAAACCTTTCATACTGCAGAGTGTGAACGCCGATGAAGGAGGGCTCTAGCGTGCTGACGGCGCGGTCCACCGCTAACTGGACCCGGCCGGGAGGAGCCGAGCTGACGGGCGGGCCTTGCTGGCTGTGCAGGGCTCCTCCACGCCGCTGAAGGAAGCGGTCTCTGTGCCCCCTTGTGTTTCACATAGAAGCAAGCACACGTGTGGCCCGAGCTGTAAGCAGTACAGAACGGTCTAAAATGATGGGTGTCTCGTTTGCTCTCACAGTCCAGCACATCTGCTAGCTTCAAAATCACGAGAACAGTCTTAGGAATAAGTTGCACGCCGAGAAAAGAAGCCGCAGGCCTTCTCCGGGGCGCTGCCGGGTACCTCACATCTTCCCCTGTCACAGAGCAACGCTGTGCTGCTTTCTCCATTGTTTAAGATCACCTTGCACACAGTCGGTCTGCAGACAGCTAAGTCCAGAAGGCGCCTCAGGCTCCACGGAGAGTCTCTGGCATCATCCCTGAAATTAATAGTTTCCTCATCCTCAAAACGAGGCGTCTGGTCATTCATTACTTTGTAGAAAACATGTCTTTATTTCACACTATACAAAAGGACAAGAGCCAGAGTCCTCCGGCAGTAAAGGTAAAACCAGGTCCAGACGTTTCTAGAGAAAAAGAAGGCAGGAAGGGACCGAATGAAGGGCACACACACGAAGGCGGGATGGCTCTTTAGGTAGCGCAGTGGGAGCTGAGCCGCGGAGGCACACGGGCTCAGCCCAGTCCTTCTTGGATGCCGCGGATCCTCCGGGCCAGCTGAACGTCCTTTGGGAAAAGAGTGACGCGGCCAGCATGCAAGGAGAGAAGGTAGGCATCTTCAAAGAGGTGCACCAGAAAGGCTTCTGCTGCCTGGGGACAGAAGAGAAACGGTAAGACTGGCACAGGGGAGGGAGGGTGCACGACTGTGTGGTTGGCTACTGGGCTCCCAATCAAACCCTTGGGTGGGACCCTGTGGCTCCTTCCTTTCAAGGAGGTGAGATTCGGTGGTGACCATTCACAATCAGTCAAGTGCTGCTCAGAACCTACTGCTAAAGATGCCAAGGCTCCGGGACCCTATCGGCTAGAGCAGGCACGCCCACAAGGTTTCCAAAGCTGCTATGGAAACAAATGGCCGTGCCATTCTCCTGCAGAGCAGCTGGCCTTTAAACCACGGACCTCGTGTGTGGCAGCTGAGTGCTCTACCCAGTGCACCAGTAGAGCTTGGTATGCCCTAGTAGATAGACAGACAAACCCCCCAACTCACTGCCATCCAGTCCATTTTGACTCACAGTAACTCTATGGGACAAGGCAAGAACTGCCCTTGTGGGTTTTAAGTCTATACTTCCTGATGGGAGTAGAAAGCCTCATCTTCCTCCTGTGGAGCGGCTGGTGGTTTCAAACTGATGACCTTGCACATAGCAGCCCAAGTTGTCACCCACTATGCCACCAGGGCTCCATGTATGCCCTAGGAGGCAGGTAGAATTATGCCGTGCCCTTTCTTACCTCTTGCAGGGCCATCAGGGCCTGGGCTTGCCAATTTAAGTCCACACCACGAGTGAATTTAACACATACTTCTCTTGCCTGTGAGGGAGGTGGGATTGGGAGAGAGAACAAGACAGGGACTCAGGGAAGACAGGCTCTCTCCAAGAGTCTCCAGTGACTCCTCATTTCTGGGACGCCTTCCTGGCCCTTCACCTGAGGACCAAACTCAGTGGCAGGTGCCGATCCAGGGCTGTGGCGGTTGGAACTGGCACCGTGACTCCCATGGGTAGCAGGGAGGGAGGAGAGGAGGTGATTGCTAAGTAGGGAAGAGAACTAAAAGGGGATGAGAGTGGGGGTTAATGAGAGAATTCCCGTTCATATAATCCAAGAGCCCAAATTCAAGGTTAGAAATCTAGTCCATAAGGAATTAGAAGGTGCTATGGGAGGGCACCTCATGTGTTCAGGTGACAGTGAGGCCCCTGACAGCTTAGAGGCCCCTCAGCTAGACAGCTAGAGAGGTGGTAGGTTCCTCAGTCCTTGGGGTTCTAAAGAATTGGGGGGAGGTAAGGGAGGGGCAGGCAGCAGCCCCCCGGAGCTCACCAGGAGGCTGAAGGGCCTCTTCCTCAACAACAGGTTTGTGCTCTTCTGAAGCTTTCGGATCTCCTTCAAAACCTTGGGTGTCCACAGGCGACGTCTGCGATGGGTGGAAGTGCCTGAGCAAGAGCGTGGGGTGTGAGAATGCAGCGGGGAACAGGCGGTGCCTTACAGCCCGGCCTAGACCAGGTCAACCGCCTGGACCACGAGCCGCTCCACACAGTCGGGCTTCTCACCGCGAAACGGCAGGCCCGCTCCCCAGACGCGAGGAGAAGGAACCTGTCTGCTGGTCCTCGAAGGCTTATCTCAGCTGCCAACTCTTCCCAAATTGCAATCACTTCCAAGCCCATGGGTTGCGCCCCAACCGGCACGGGCCGCGCCCCCCTCCCGCCCCTCATATGTATTACCCACGCGGCACGGAGACCCCTCATATGCATTACGCACGGGGCAGGGAGACCCCTCATATGCATTACCCACGCGGCACGGAGACCTGTTCATTTCTTTGGAGCGGGAAGGAATCTGGGTGCCATCTCCTCGTCTTGGCTCTCCTGAGGCCCACAGAGGGAAGTCCCTGGGGCAAGGCTCTCTAGAGCCTGGCCTGGGCCCTCGGAAGAGGCATGACTCAGTGTG